CCCAGTTCCTGGTTGCTTTCTTCAGGTTGTGTCCTCCCTCTTAGAATTCTTTGTAATGCTGGCTTACTGTTTATGTATTCATTTAGTTTTTCTGTGCTATTAAAAGTTTTCAGTTCTCCATCGAATGTGAATGCTAGCTTTGCCGGTATATTAGTCTGGGTTGGCAGTTATTGGCTCTCAGGGCTCGTATGGTGCTTTCCCAGGCTTTTCTTGCATTCATTGTTTGTGTGGAGAGATCTGCAGTAATTCTAATTTTTTTCCCGTTGTAGTATAGCTCCTTCTCCATTTTTGCTGCATGCAGGATTGTTTCCTTATTATTCAGATCCATCATTTTATTTTCTGCCTCTGGTTTTTCTCTGAGTGTTCGTCTTTTTGTTGTTGTCGGTCTCTTGGGGAGATTAAGCGTTGGAACTCGAACTCTCTTTTTGGTTGGAGAGAGCTGTGGTGTTTCCCTACTGCCCCATCGCCATCTTGGTCCCCCCTCTCTTGCCTGGTTTCTTAAATCAGTATGAGCAGGCAGAAAGAAGCTCTGCCTTCCCAGGGACTTTATGACCCACCTCCCAGGCTAGTTCAGAGGAGGTGAACTGTTTTGAGTATCACAAAAGAGGGAGATGGCTCTTTCCTCTAGCTTGGAGTTCCTGTGATGGGGCTACTTGTGGGTAGGGTTGAGGCCTGTCAGCAATCAGTAGCTTTTCCCTGAGGGGCTAGCTCCTGAGACACTCACACAGCCCAGCCTAAAGCCAATGTCAGGATTTATGTATACTGAGTTTCCAATTGTTTTTCCTTTACCCTTCTGCACCTGGGGCTGCTGGCTGTGCTGCAGAGGGATGGGGCAGCCTGCAGCTGTTTACCCAGTGAAGAAAGTTACTCTGCCCTGGGCAGAACTTGCTCTGCTGAGAAGGGCAACTTTGGGGGCAGGGGTGGAGCTGAGCCCAGCAGGTCAGGTTCTTTTGACCTGTTGAAAGGCCCTATTGCTTCTTCGAAGGCCTGAGTTACAAGCTAGCTGCTCTAACCTGGTCTTTGTCAGTATCAAAGATGGAGTTCCTCTCTGGTGGTGGGGGAGGGGCTACCTTCCCACTGTTGCTCTGTGAGAAAGCATGAGGATGTCTTGTGGGGTATTCATGTCTTTCCCTTTGCTTCTGGGTGGTCCACAGTCTGCGACTGTCTGTGGTCAGCAGGATGATTTCCACTCCTTGTCAGTTCTTGCTGGCATTGAGTAGAATCCACTCTCACACCATCTCTGGCGCCTTTTTCCCAGGCTCTTCTCTGTTGATATGGCAGCTGCCATGGACACTGGTGAGTGCTCAAATCTGTCTCCTTAACCAAGCTGCCTGAATTTTTCCTCTCTGGCCAAACTTTCTGTACTATGATGGCACACTTAGTGTGACTCTCCAGCCTTGGATTTTTCACTGTAATACTAAAACTGGCTTCTACGTGAGAGCTTGCTTACTCCCCAGCTTCTCCTCTGCCATCTTCTCTCTCCCCCTATTCGAAAATATTACTATTTTTAAAAAATAATTTTATTTTTGAATTACAGGCGCAGGGACACAGCTCATCGGAAGATCAAGAATATGTTCTACAAAGTAATCCAAAAACGCAGGCAGTCAGCAGAAAAAATTGATGACATTCTTCAAACTTTACTAGATTCTACATACAAGTAAGAGCAGATCAGATTGCATATCAAATTGAAGCAGGAAAGTAGTCATTAAAGCATAATTAAATAGTATTTTTAGTTAAAAGGTAAGAGTAGAAGCTATGGTGCTTTTAATTGATGGAACCTAAATTAGTATTGAACCCTGTGGCCAAGAATAATGAAATTGGTATGTAAATATGACTCTTTGTCTAAGGGTGGAGGCATGCAATGTTGAGTGGCTGTGTGCTTCCTTCCCTAGAGATGGGCGGCCTTTGACAGATGACGAAGTGGCAGGCATGCTTATTGTGCTGCTCTTGGCTGGGCAGCATACATCCTCAACTACTAGTGCTTGGATGGGCTTCTTTTTGGCCAGAGACAAAACACTTCAAGAAAAGTGTTACTTAGAACAGAAAACTGTCTGTGGAGAGAATCTGCCTCCCTTAACTTATGACCAGGTTTGTTGGAGTTTTCTGTTTCATTGCTGCCTTTTATATTGTCTCTTTTAAATAGACACTTTGAGATTTGTCTGTATATTTTAGCTTAAGTTAATAAGCTTCTATATTTTTAGAAAACTCAATAACTTTATCTACCTATTCCAGAGTGATTGTTTTTTTCTATTCAACTTACTCTGTTTTACACAGATGCCTTGGGAATTCTATGGTGGTACTTTGGGTTTCAAGTCTGGCTTCTGTAGGTTCAGGAAAGTATTGTGTATGTTGTGTGTCTTAGGAAAGGTAAAAATCTCTGAATTAAAGTTTCTGGTCCAGGGGCTGGGAAGGTGGCTCAGTGGTAGAGCGCTTGCCTTGCATGCATGAGGCCCTGGGTTCGATTCCTCAGCACCACATAACCAGAGAAAAAAAAGCCAGAAGTGGCATTGTGGCTCAAGTGGTAGAGCACTAACCTTGAGCTGAAGAGCTGAGGGACATCGCCCAGGCCCAGATTCCGGCCCACAACCGGACCCAAAAAAATAAAAATAAAAATAAAGTTTCTGGTCCAGATGGTCAAATTGTTCAGGGAACATCCAGAGTAATAATGATAGTAATGGAGATTAGAAACCCAAAACATTGCATCTAGCTTGCTGGACAGAAAAAAGAGGACTATGCAACCTGCTATTTTGTCTCTGAAGCAAATCTGGCTATATACTCTTCCTGGAGTTTTTTTTCTTTTCTGGGTGTGTGTCTGTTTTAAGTCCTTTAACATGGTGTGTTAACATTAATTTTTAAATGGTAAATAATTGCTACATTCCTGGGCTATATGGTCATTTTATAGGTTCCTGCATCTTTTTTGCTAATATATTCTTTTGAGGATTTTCCACTGAAATTCATAAAGGTTATATATTTAGAAAGTAAAATTGATCTAGGGTGGACTTAGTGGTAGAGTATCTGCTTAGCAAGCTGGAGGTCTTGAGTTGAAATTGCAGTATTACCATGAAAAATCTAAAATTAAACCAGAATGAGACAATTCTGGACATCAAAGTTCCTTGTTGGAAGGTGGGTTTTTTGTTTAGTTTTTTTTAAAACTGACTTTTCTGGATTAAGTATCTAAAGTACATATTTGTCTTATAAAGTTGTTTAACTCTTTTTTTAAATGTTAGTAGTCGCCTAATGATATTTAGAGATTTTTTTTACTGTCTTGAATAATTAAGTCTTTCAACTTTTCTGAGGGGCTTTTTATGTCGACATGTTATTAATACCATTTATATATCAATAATAGCAATTAAAATTCAGCCTTCATTTCTGTTTGTGTAGATTAGTAATAGGTGAGCCGTCAGAGCCTTGTCAGATATTACTTGGGCATGTCATTACTCTGTATATGCAAACACACTTCAAAATTACTGTGTAGATGTGTTTAAAGTCTCTTATAGCCATCTGATTCCCTACTTTTCCTGTTAAACATTTTGTTTTATGTCTTGTTGGCTCTAAGTAATATCACAACCTCATCTGCCTGTAATATTAATATAATTTCTGTTGGTTGGGTTTGACAAGTTTTGGCTCCTTTAGAGTTGTTTGGTTGCTGTAGTTGAAATCTTGCTGTTTCCAAGACTACAATGGATCTGCAAGTTGTAGTTACATTACTACAAGATTTACTCTTCTAAGATTCTTTTTTTCTTTCATCCTTAACTATCTCTCTCTCTTTCTCTCTCTTTTTGAACTGGTTCTGGGCCTGGGCATTGTCTCTAACCTTTTTAGCTCAAGGTTAATGCTCTACCACTTGAGCCATACCTCCATTGCAGGCATTTTTATTTTTATTTTTTTAAGAGACTGCCCAGACTGGCTTTGAATTATGATGGTCAGATCTTAGCCTCTCCTGAGCTACCAGTGCCAGCTAACTATTTAGATGTTGCAAAATATTTGGTTAATTTATCTGAGTTCTGAAGAAGTTGACATTGGCGATTTTTGTAAATGTTCTTATTTTTTGAAAGAAAACTTTCTGTAAGTCCTTACTTGAACTATTCTTCAGAGTGGCTGCCACTCTTCTTGTCACATCTTGCCTGCCTTTCTTTCTCTCCCTCCCTCCCTCCCTCCCTCCCTTCCTTCCTTCTTTCCTTCCTTCCTTCCTCTCTCTCTTTCATCTCCTTTCTTTCTTCTTTCTTTCTTTCTCTCTCTCTTTCTCTTTCTTTCTTTCTTCCTTCCTTCCTTCCGATGGATAGAAATGTAACATGATGAGTTCAGCCATATTAAAATGGTTCCCCCTTCCCCTCTACCAGCCAATCATGTACTAAGAAGTTAAAATAATTTTTATACTGTTCGTTTGTTAAATGTTTTTTTTTTTTTTAAAAAAAACAACTCAGGAAGTTCTTTCTCTTTTTAGCTCAAGGACTTACATTTGCTTGATCGCTGCATAAAAGAAACATTCAGACTTAGACCTCCTGTAATGACTATAATGAGAATGGCCAAAACTGCTCAGGTGAGTGTCTTGGCATGATTTCCCATTCTATGTCCTTGCTTTTTAATCAAAGAAAGGAAATATAATAGCATCAAAACATTTTAAAATTAATTTTTATTAGGTTCCTTTATTTAGCTGCTTTTATTCAGGGTCTTCTATGGAGCTCAGATTGGCCTAAGCTGGACTTGGAATTGTCCAACCAATACTTCTAAGTATTGGGATTATAGGTATCTACCACCACTATGGCCAAAGACACTTTTTTAAATTATGAAAGTTAAATTGTCAAGGACACAGAATGACCCACTGTGATACTCACAGACATTATGCTGGAAATGAACTTTCCAACGTCTGTGATGGGGGGAGGTGTGGAGGAAGTGTGGGAGAGAAGGACAGTAGGAGAAAAACAAAGGAGGGGTAACACTGTTTGAGAATAAATGTACTCATTATGTTACTCCAGAACTGTAACCCCCCCCCCCCCGTACAGCATCTTTACAATAAAATAAAATTAAAACAGTTAAATTATCTTCACTTCGGAATAGTTTTTAATTTTTTGTTAGGTAAGTTATAATTTTCTTTAACATTTTATTTAATTTTTAAAAATTTTCTGAACTTTTTCAAAAGATAATTTTAAAGACATTTTTACATAATTGCAGGTAGCATATGTACTAATCTCGAATGCTAATTCTGCTATTCATTCTCAGTTAACAATAGGGATTTTTTAGAAATACATTTTACTTGCTTTAACTAATAATGTCTTGTTGGGGAGGCGCTGGAGGGGGAGGGAAAGTATGAGAAAAATGAGGGAGGGAGTAACAATGTTTGATAAGAAATATACTCATTACTTTATGTTTGTAACTGTAACCCCTCTGTACATCACCTTGACAATAAAATTAAATTTAAAATAATGTTTTGCATTGGAGAAGGAACTGCATGGCAATGTGCTTGTTTAGTTAGTATATATGAGGTGCTGGCTTTGATCACTAGCACTGGTTTATTTTAAAAAAAGCAAGCTGTTGTTATAATTGTAACAGTATGAATCATACACATCAGATAATGGAAGGTTCCTTGAAATTCTACTTTACCTCATATGCATTATATGTATACTTCTAATTCATTGGTGGCTCACTTGCAAATCATTTTGATTTAAATTAAAATTTAGCTGACCTATTTATTTTTTTATTTATTGTAAAAATACTGTACAGAGGGGTTACAATTACATGGGCAAGATAATGAGTACATTTCTTATCAAGCATTGTAGCCTCCTCCTTTGTTTCCCCTT